CAGGCGAGCAATCGTCCCGCGTGAACGGACTCTACATGAAAATGAGATTACCGCTTTTCCCATTCGACGCGTAATAAGGCCGAGCCGCTAGTCGCTCCGCTATCGGCCGCGTTTTCTCCCGATCCGCTTTCGCACCGTCCAGTCCCGTCGTCTGCCCGCGCGATCGATCCTTATTTATATAGTTATCTATACCTAGTTATCTCGGGGCCTACGTACGCTTTTGCTCGCGAACGAAAGCGGCGAAACGTGGGCACATCGGTTGACGAAATATATTTCCCGGTTTTTTTTATTTTTTTTTTTATTTTTACTCGAGGCGGCCCCCGATGATAATTCGCACGGTAGCGAGTCATATCCGGGACGAGGGGGGCTTTCGTTAAGCCGCGAGACAATCGCGATTTTTCTCTCCCGGAGCGGAATAATCCGCAGGCGTGATTTATCCGGTATTTTCGTATGGCGGGGGTCCTCCTACGCGCTCGCACACGGTCGGCGACAGTCGAACGTACCCTGGACAAGAGGCGTTCTGCCCACACGCGCTGCGGATGATCAGATAATCGCATACGTGGCGCGGCGGATGGTCCCCCTTCTCACGCCGATCGGCATCGCGACGATCACCGGTATTACGTTTAATTGGCGGAACCGCGCGGGACCCCAGGAATCCCGGGACCACATAACGGATCGTCGCGCGTGACTATGATCGAATGACTGGAATTATTTCGATATGTCATGAGCCTTTTTCCAAAATCGAGCAAATAAGAGCAAACAAGAATCACGTGAAGATTCAGAATAAACGGGAATCTCGTTAAGACACTAGTTCGTTTAATAATATAAAGCGCGGACTTTTATAGAAAGAAATTTAAACAAAGATTTAACGCGCGAGATAATTTTTTCATAAAGTTATTAGTTTAGGTATAACAATCGAAATTATAAATTGTGAATAAAAAATTAAAAACTTAAGGACTCTTGATAATAATCTAATGTGACTGAAGTAGATTTAATTAATTGATTAAAAAGACGAAAAGAGAAGGATTATTTGATCGATCAAAGTGCAATGCGGTCGAAAATTCGCGATTTTGCGATTTCTTCGGGACGCGGAAATAATGTGACTCGTCGTTCGCGATTATTCAAATCGTTGCCACGGAAGAACGCGTATACACCGTCGTCTTATTTTCCCTCGTACGGGCAGGACGTGCATGCGAAGGAAAGCTCCGCGTTCGCGGGACGAGAGGGCGGGAAGTAGAATTATTTCCGCTTGCGGTACTCCTGCACTTGATGGCTAATTAGAGAATCGTTGCCGGGCCCGCGGAAAGAGCCGGCAGGGATAGCGCGTGTATTCGCGCGTCTCTCACGCGCCTCCGCGCGTAAACGCTTAGGGGAGAATTAATCCATTAAAGGCTGTTGTCCCGTTTCCGAGAACAAACTCGAACTCGGCAAACGGATCTCTCGCAGCGAATCAAAATACATATATGGGTAATATTTGTTCCTCCCGCCTCTCAGTTTATCCTTAGTAATGTGTTACACTCGCGACTTCCACCTGTTTCTAACATAACACGTGAAAACACGAATTAAAGAAAAATAGCCTTGAATTACGTCAGGGACTGAACTTGGGTGTTTCGTTGGCCATTCTGAATCGTGTCACAAGCAGGTTCCCTCATCATAAAAATTGTACGTGAGAAAGTCTCATACACGTTTTTATGCTCCTCGTAAGAGTAACTTTTCTTTGCAATCAGCATTAAATCTGTTAACACATTTATACATCTATATTGTAAGATTACGTTTAACGATAAAATAGTCTTTTCAACGAGTATGCAAACTACTTCTTTTTCTGTTTTGTCGTTAGGTCTAGCGACGTTTATTCAAATTAGATACATCATTATGACATAATTCCGGCGTGGGCCACGCTGGCGTCTTTACCGAGAAAAATTATGTAATGCGTGCCAGAACTCATTTCGATTATTTGTGGCAAACTGTTTATGTATTTCGCAGCAAACCGTTGCTCCTAAATTGTATCGCAGAGAAATTGCACTGGAGAAATTTCTCCGCATGATTCCAAAGGAACATGCCCATTTCTTTCAACGACAACACACTGCTCGTACACGCTCATATTTTCATTACATCAATATTTCCGGTCGCGACTACAACGAGCGAAAAGAGACACACACAACATGCTATTTTTTTTAAAAATACACCGGAAGAGGATTAGTTCGCTTTTGTCGACGAGTGGCGGGTTGTCGTTCCCCTGAGGAGACTCTGTTGGAAGCGAATGAAAGCAGAAACGCGACGTGAAAGTAAATTATACAAAAAGTAGAGTACCTACCTACCTACCTACCTACCTACCTACGCTCTAGCTGTAAGGCTAGAACGTTTTGCTGCAGGCGTTTTAAGAAATAGAAACGTTTCATTGCGTCCAATTCTATCCGCAAACTCCGCCTTCCGCAAACTATTAGCGGAATGTTTCTCAGCACGTAACGATAGTTTATCCTTAATCGGCAATCGTATGTTTATTTTTCGAAATTACAAACAGCATAATACAAAAATTCAATACAGTACCTCTATACTTTTGCAAGTAAATGTTATATTTATCGGAAAAAATTAATTTACCATATATTTTATAATAAAATGTTCTATATATTTTCTATTTAATTTAATTCAATTTTATAATAAAATCATTATTATATAACACAATTATATCATATACATGGCGATAATATTTTTAACATTTTATACAATTGCAATAACATTTTTTTCAAATAAGAATGATCAGTTATTCAATTTGCGTTATATCAATTTAAAGTTAAATAAACTTAAATAAACAAAAAGAATTGAATGTTTAATATATTTCTTTATACCATGCTTTTACCAGGATCGCGATGAGCAGACGCGTCTCGAGATGAAGCACCGGAAAGAAGAGGATGATTTATATCGAAAGTTTGCCCACCATCGCGAGGAAGAGGACAGACGAATTCGCGAGGAATTCCGAGTATGTAATGAATTGAATTCTAAGAAAAATAATGCAATTTATTATTCGTTCATTTTCTTGTAATTATATAATATACAATTTTTTATATATTTTTCACTTACAAGAATGTGATATACGTGTCTATATTAAAAAATTGTTTTAATATATTATGTGTATAATTTAAATAGGACGAGTGGGAGAAGGAGCTGGAACAATTGTCGGCGAGATGGGAACGGGAAAAAGGCGGAAGAGTTCGAACCCAACAATTTCAGCAACAAGAAGAAGGAAAGTCTCACGCGCAAGATGTTGGAGCACGAACGGTATTTATTATGTAATTAACGCGATAGTACATCTTGCTTTTAAATCGGGCAAGTAGTGCTTATACATTGCAGGTCATAGTTTATTACATTAAACAATGTATATAAATTTTTCGAGCTTTTAGAGAGAAAGCGTAACAAAAAATTTTTTTTTCGAGAAAGCAATCAACTGAATAAATTTATTACAAATATAAATAAAAATAATATATGTTTAAAACGAATAAAATTAAAAAACGCGTTTACCATTCATAAAAAAAAAAAAAACAATGTTGAAGCTGTATAAATTGAAGAATTATCAAGAGTTTATTCGAGTTTTGTATTTATAACCCCATACAGTTTTTCAATATTTTATGAAATAATCCACAAAAAATGTTTTAAATTTATTACGCGATTAATACAATCGAAATAATCTTTCGAACGGGATTACGTTAATATCGATGCTATGCATTTCTCGCTACAAAAGAATTTACGAAAAGGACCACGTATTTAACGTCGCATGTTATGCGCCGCAGTATAGTTGCGGCTTCCTTTTTTTTTCGGGAAACGATAAACAAGCCCGCGCACCAGGAAGCCGGGCTTCCGCGCGTACGCAACAAAAGCTGTTAGTTACTCCTGATCAATTTATAGAGCGGCGACCGCCGCGCTGGTGGAGAAACAGAGCTCGGAGATGCTGGAGCTGATCAATGAGGCGAGAAGCGAGTACATGCTCCAGGAGAGTTTATATCTTGACGAAGGGGACGGTTATATCCAGGAAGCGCCGCCGCCGCCTTATCCGTCGCGCGCGCCACCCCCGCAGCCACCGGCCCTGGCCAAATACCACATCTACAATGATCCTCTGGAGTTCGCTGACATGGATCAGATAGCTATTTCGGTAAGCTCTCGCTGCGAAATTCTTTAGCGCGCTTTCAGCCTTTCTTCTCTCGCGAGCCGTCCTTCAAGATTTAGCGATCTCTATCGAGACGGCACTATCGTTGTTCGCATCGCATAGAGTTTTACGCTTCTTTTCATTTTATATTCTAGTTTCTTTTACAAAATTGTTACATTTTAATCGTGTTGCACGCGAAAATGTGTAGATTTATTTTGACCGATTCACAAGTTTATATAATTCTAATTAATATTCTCTTTCTAATATTTATTGTGCAGGGCCATATCCATATTTTATGAACGCGGCTTTCATAAGAGAGAGAGAGAGAGAGAGAGAGCGAGAGAGAGAGAGAGAGGAATGCTCGTTCACCGATACTCGCTGATTTACGATATCAATGTTATTCTTAGGTAGCGCAAGAAGATCAGAAAACGTTTACCGATCTGGTGCGACAGTTGGTGAGCAGATGCGGATCGGACATAGAAAAGGCGAGGACAATATTCCGGTGGATCACCGTGAAGAATCTCAACACTATGCAGTTCGACGAGAACTTACGAGGCGACACTCCCATGGGTCTGTTGAGGGGTATCAAACACGGCACGGAAAGCTATCACGTTCTATTCAAACGACTGTGCAGGTAACAGATGACGAATGTGATTTTTGCATATAATGGAAGAGACACGGTTAGAAGCTTCACTTTGCAAAAGTATCAAGAATACATACTCGTTCAATTTTGCATATTTAACATGTCAGTTATTTTTTATGGGGAACAAGTTATCCTTCTAAATGCGAAGAGCAGAGGAAACTGTGAAAATATTTAATATAAAATCTGGTTACTTTTTTTTCACAAAAATAAAGGTTTTACAGCAAATCTTTTCACGAAGAGAGAGGAAAATCTAAATAGAATGTCATGTCGATATAATAAATAAATGGAAGCTGATATGTGCTGATATGGGATTTATTTTACTTTTACTTCGTCATTACTATCGCGTCAGTTTACGCGACTCGTAAAAAGCACGCGATGCAAAACGTTTATAGATGTAAATTGACGGAGATATATATATATATATATATATATATATATATATATATATATTATCTTTATTTACGAAACGGTTCGAGATTGTAATCAGCTGGAACGCCGTCTACGTAGCAGGTGCGTGGCGATTTGTCCAGTGTAATTGGGGAGCGCGACATCTCGTCAATGCCAAAGAGGTGCCCCGCCCTGGCCAGGCGAAAGCCAAGAACGACAGTCTCAGGTAGGCCCGAAATTTGCCATGATCCATATATAATAATTACAGTGTATATATTGTATCACGCGATAAAATGAAACGATCAATTTAATCACGGAGAGGATAATTTTATTTAGATACGAGTACGACGATCATTACTTCCTGACGGATCCTCGTGAATTCATATACGAGTTCTTTCCATTGCAAGAGGACTGGCAATTGCTCAAACAACCAATTTCGCTCAAGGACTTTGAGGAACTGCCTTTCGTACGGTCCCTATTCTTTAGGTGAGAAAACGTCTTTGTTTTTAGGAAAAAAACGATTTGGCTCTCATGTTCTTACGTAACTTATGTGTCCAATGTCACGCTGATTATAAACCCTCTTCATTAATTATACTATATATAAATTTACCAAATGCAGCAACGTCTTGACAGCATTAAATCCTTTTATTAAAGCGCGCGTAAAAGCCGTTAGAATACGCAATTAAATCTCGATGATTTCGCGAGAGAAATTTCTGTTAACAATGCCTATAAGCGAGAAAGAGAGAAAATACCGTTCGGATAAATTCTGCGTCTACAGGTACGGCCTCTACTTTCCGGATACGAATACGAATGCCGTTATGTACACGGATTCCACCGGCGCTGCGACCGTGAGGATAGCAATGCCGGCGCATATGCAATCATCCCTTATCTTTCATTACAATCTCAAGTTTTATGACAACGACGGCGATGGTTACGATGGTGTGTCGCTCAAGCGTTTTGTCATGCAGGTAAATATATAATCCGCGACTCCTCCCGCATCCACCTCATGATTTATCTCACGCGCTTTAAGCGGCATTGCTTAAAAATCGTAAGACAATTAATTTTCATAAAACAATTCAGACATTTCTATAAAGTGAAATATTAACGATTCATTAATAAAACATATTTTTAGGCTTGAATACTTATAATTTTGATAAAAAAATTAATCTTGACTTGTACAGTTTTAGAATCTTTTTTTAGTTATATATAAGTAATTATATAAAATCATTGTACGTATGTGTTTCAATATTATTTTAGAAATTTCTGATTGTTTTTATACTAATAATACTATCACATATTTAGTAATATGATAAAAAAATATGTGTTCTATTCGCATCAATTTATATAACAATAAGATAAGAAAATAATGCATTTTTCATCTCTAAATAAATCTTAAAAATTGAAATTTCTACAGTCGGTCGTGGGAAATATAGTCGCGTTTCGAGTTCACGCACCATGTTCCGGGGCCTTCCTTTTAGACATATTTGCCAACGCGGTAACGCCGAAGGAGTACTTGACAGGCGAGCCGATGAAGTTTAAGAGCGTTTGCAAATTCAAAATTGCATGCGAGGAACTGCAGACGGTGATGGTACCGTTGCCGGATTGCGCCAGTGGCGAATGGGGTCCCACCAAAGCCACTAGATTATTTGGGCTTATACCCATCACTCATCAGGTATATATATAAGTCTAGTTAAATCGATTTGCTTATGTAATTAATTTAGAGCAAAAGCTGTGCAAGATCGATATCAACGTAGAAGATACAGGATGACTCGAAAATACGTCTAAATTTTTATCTTGTAAATATGTGAATCGAAATATCAATGTGCTACAATAGTATAGCAATTTCATAAAAAATATTTTCTTGATGAGAGTCACTTGGAAAAATTACGTACGTCTTGAAAAATGAAACGAGAATGTAGCTAACTTAAAAAAAAAAATTGTATTGAATCTTTTAAAATAACTTGTTACGTATTTCATGCGAGGCAAGAATTCTGTAACACTTTTTATTCTTTCGGGAAGTGTCAAGAATTAAAAAAAAAAAAAAAAGAGTAATTCAAGTCAAGAAAGATTATCGAGAAAAAAATCTTGCGATCTTATCGCGTCTGCCAGACGGATGGTTTACGATCTATCGATTTTAGGAGGCTCTGGTGTTCGCCGGGCGCGAGCTTGAGATTCAATTTCGCATGTCGAGGCCGTTGACGGACTTTATGGCGACCCTGCACAAGAACGGCATCGAGGAAAAACGTCTGTCAAAGTACGTGACGCATTCCATCGCCGACGACGACGTGGTCACCTTCTCCATAAGCTTCCCCGAGGAGGGCCAATACGGTCTGGACGTGTACACCAGGGAATCCACGGCCTCGCCCGTCGCTCAACATGACGTCACCGGCGAGAAGCATCTCCTCACGCACTGCTGCAAATATCTCATCAACTCCAGCAAGAGGAATTGAGAGCGGATATTCCGCGCTCTTGAAACGTTCAGTCGTCTCGGCTTTATCCGGAAATTTCCGCCTGTCGTAGAATCGTTACAAGGATCGGGGGAGTTTCAGACGTTCGTTAAGACGAAACCAGGAGACGTTGAAGTATTCGCGGACAAGGTGAACGTTATCGCGCGATGAGACGACGTCAACAAGTTTTACGATTTCGAGAGTCTCGCTCGTTTCGTCGTATCGACAGTTCGTCCTGTCTTTGCGAAATAACTTGCCGACGATCTCGGGAAGTATATTCGGCCATTAATCGATCGACTATCGACGCTGTGTCGTGAACCGAGAAAGGGGAAAGACAATGGTGAAAGAGCACAGTGACGTTTTACGCCAAGTCTTTAAGGAAAAGAAAAGCGCGGCAGAGACGAAGAGACAATGGTGAAAGAGCACAGTGACGTTTTACGCCAAGTCTTTAAGGACTACTTTTAGGTCGCGCGCGGATAAAGACGACACGGCATGCGATTCCGAGCTGACACGCTACCTCGAGTCTAACAATAGGCTTACGACTTGGAGATAAACGTTTAATGTAAAATTAACTATACGCAGCAGTGTCTCCTTGAAGACACGGAAGACGTCTTTCTTTCGAAAGAGCCCTCGAATTGAAAAGGGTACCTTCGTATCTAAGTGATACGCGATTTTCTGAACACCCGGTATTTCTGGAACGCGAACTTATAACAATCGTGCTTGTATCATCTACCAAGTCGATATTTCCGTATATAATGATCCTCTCCCCCCTTCTTACGTAACATGTAATCAAATAAATTATTACGATCTGCGATTTCGTCTCGTAAACAATTTTCACTATAGAGCTCTCTTTACACCTATACAATATTTATCCTACTCTATAACTATTATAGTACATATATTTTATTCTCAGTACTATTATTTTTAATCGCGAATTATTTCATGCGTGATGTTTATATAGATCGAATAATATATAAGCAAATATAATATATTTTATGTACGAGAAAGATGCTTTTGTATATATAATATACGTATACGATCATTACGACTTGAAGAAATATCGTCAATTTAACTTATACGCTTAAAGAAATACACGTCCAATTATTTTTCCACAGAGTCTATTCTTTCATTCTTTTTAAATATATAATTATTTTTCGTCGGGTTTTATTATTTATTTTGCGATCGGAATCGTACGTTTTCTTTTAAAACTGATGCATTTTCAAGTCGTAATTTTCAAACTGCACAGGTGCTATACTTATCCCTCATAATTATTCGCACACAATCGGAGTAGCAGTCATATGATTAATTAGTTATAGGATAGTATTATCGACTATGCGAGAAGAAATGTTATTTACGATAGTAAGGAAAAAAATATTATATATTTGTTATATATATACAATCGTGTAATATTATATATTATATAATATCTCTCTCTTGTTGTTATAATTAAAATTTTAATCACGCTTACGAAAGAAGCTCCTATATTATTGTCTTACGTAATAACTCGAGCTTATGATGAATACTTTATTATCCATTAACGTTCGTAGATATGTATAAATTAATATTTTTTTACACTACAGTTGCTTAATGAAAATTGATATTTGTGTATAAAGACTTAATAAATCAATTTCCACAATTATTTCCATTTACCTCAATGCTTAACAGATCGATTTTCGCAAATCCGATTTCCAGTACATTGGATTAGGAATTATTTAGTTGCGTAATCTTCTCTTTAAACATACGTATATTGTAAAAATATATTTTAACATTTGATTGATAACTGATAGACGTTGGTAGGTATGTATAAATTAATATTTGTTTACACTACAGTTGCTTAACGAAAATTGATGTTCGTGTATAAAGACTTAATAAATCAATTTCCACAGAATTATTTCCATTTACCTCAATGCTTAACAGATCGATTTTCGCAAATCCGATTTCTAGTATATTAGATCAGGAATTATTTAATTGCGTAATCTTCTTTAAACATACATATATTGTAAAAATATATCTGAACATTTGATTTTTAAAGTCATAAAGATCTTATATTGGTGACTGATAGACTGACAGATCAAAAATATTAAAAATATTGTTATAATATTAAATCACTTATTGTTGTTAAATATTATCATATCATTTTGAAATTGTTCAAATTAATTATTATTAATTTAAAGATACGTAGAATAATAAAAAAATGACAATAAAAATTTATAACAAGCGCACCAAATAATCAATCTCAAGTTCCGTAGGAGATTCCCTGTCGAAGAGCAACCCGTTTCACTACACCATCGAGCATCGAAGAAACGTAACGATACGGACATCTTGCGGTAAAAGCAGAATATAAGCTTACCGAATCGAATACTTTTTATATATGTACGCTACTGTATAAAGAGACAACTTTATTAGACTATTGTATTCTCGTTTCTAGATGAAGATATGAAGTATATATGTGTATGTGTGTGCCACTTTAGGTAAATCAAACATTTACAAAGATCGAAGACACGATTATATTCGATAAATATGTGATTCGTGTCAAGCTACTTTAATTTATTAAGAAATTAGGTCAATTTGTGCTTAGCAACTTTTTCAAACTCGTGCATATATATAATTCAGAAACACATCTAAAATGTACTAATTGTTTAATAATCAGTATACATGAGGGATGTAAGTATTATAATTCACGTAAATTATACAAGCTATACAATCTTTATTATTCTATTGATTCTTATTTTAAGAAACAGCTATTTTTTTATATATAATTCTGTAATCGCGAGGGAAAATTCGTGGACCTATTTAATAATATCGATACCGCATCCTACATTGTCGAATAAAAAATTCAAAGTGACTTCTGACGAAATCGAATTCTCGGTAAGTTTGCGACCGCCAAAGTAACTACTATTGATAAATATACCCGATAACGAGCATCCGGTATCGGATTCATTTATCAAATTATGACTGAGTGCGACCGCGACCAAACAATTGTACTAAAGTTTCGCGAAGCGTGGGCGACCCTTACTTCTTGGATCGCACTCTTCTTCGGTCCAAGCTCGCGGCCTGACCGTTTCTTATGAAAACTAATTATCGGGATTCGTCTTGTGCATTAACTCGGAGATGAATTGTCATCTGCGGCAAAGATTCTTTTCGTGGCGAAGTCGTCAGTACGGCCGCTAATTAAATAGCCAGTCCTCTGGATGCACAACCTCTTCCTCGCTCTCTCCACGTTAACTTCCGGAATAGGAGAAGTGCCCCGGAATTGTCGGGATGGGAAGAAAGTTTCCTTATCTCGCGATGTGCAGAAAGAAAGATTTCATCGCGGGCGGACTTTGCGTTGCGTGATTTATTGCCCGCTAACTGCTTATTGTAATTGCAGATGAAGGCATCCATTATTGTTATTATCAGCGTCAGGTATGGAGACAGGACACGGGATTTAGAAAGTGGCTCTCGCCTTATCGTCGCGCGAAATGAGAATTTCTGTTCGTCGCGGTTGCGTGGCTAGAATTTTTAATGGCTCTTACAGTAGAACTTATCGCGTAGCGGCTTCTCGTTCTATTTTTGTTAACATAAAATTCCCTCCTTATACTTTTGCACTCTTAAATATGCATCATCGTTATATAACATTTCAGATGGCAAATTTACATTACAACGCCTTCAACATAATGATAAAATTATTATTTATTACACTAATTAGATTCTGATTATATTGAAATAGGGTTCTAATTTAAAAATTTGAATTTTTTCGACGTATATCTTTTTCCATGATTAGCTTTTATTATTTAGAGAAAAAATGGTCATTTGATTTCATAAAACATTTATGTTTGTAGGATAACCGCGATTTTATACGCGAAAAAAAGTAACATGATTTTTTCATCGATAGCAAAGTATGAAAGCATAATTATTTCCGCTACTTTTATTATTTTGGCCGCGCATTATAATAGACAAGTTCTCCTATGCTAAATTATAAAATATTTGATTGACCAATTTATTGTGATACCGAGACAGTTAAGAGGTTTTGATCGCTAGTACCAGTACGCGAGTGTTCTCTCTTCGTTCCAGTTTCCATTGTTTGATGATGACCGCTTGTTAGTATTTCACGCTCTATACGCACGCCATATAGAGATGATATGGACTCAAAGTGTTTAACGAGCCTCTTCCTTCGTTCTTTTTTCCCTTATTCTTCCTTCCGCAGCCCGTTAGACGCCACGTCTTTATAATTGCTCACCGCAAATGGATGGCTATTAATGTATACGTCTATTCGCCGTTCCGGCTGCAACGTCTTAATAATGTGCAAATAGTCATCTCTTGATATACTCTCTAAATATCTTCTTTATCGTAATTCGATGTAGCTTGTTCTAAATTTTTTTTTAAAATCCACCGATACACAGGAGTTTTCAGATACCCCTTCAAACGCTAATGAACAATTTAAATAACAACATTATGCAGGTAGTTTTATAATATATTCATCGAGATATAAATAGAATGTAGAAAAAAAGTTTCAAGTCACTTTGACGAGAGTTTCTAGGGCGGAATTCGAAACTCAAATACCCGGTTATAGAAACACCAGCTATGAACATGAAGGTAATGCGCCAGTATACAACCGTTTGCGTAACAGTAATGCCTCAGGGTCAATTGCATCAAAAGCTTGTGCAGCTAACTGTAATTTCTCTCTAATCTCTTTACGGTTATATTATAATATAGGTAGAAAATTTAACTCATTATGCGATAGCGCTAATAAACGCCGATGAAACAGATTTTTAACATGCGCGAAATAGATTAATATCTTATAATAAGCGTTTAATCTTAAAATACGCGAAACTTATAACAGATTGTACCGATTTTGTAGCCTCTTTAATTAATGACGTTTTTATTTATCTAACGATATCAGAATTGAGCGATATCTTTAGAACTTTTTTTTGTAATAAAATCGCACGTGTTAAAAATTTTATATCGATAATATTATATTCTACACCATGCGAAACATCACATAAATTATATTAAATGCCTGACATCTCTGTAATCAGATATTTTCACTCATCGATAGAATATTTATCTTATCTTAGGTCACCTGCGTCTTAGAAGATAATATGAAAGTGTCAATAAGATATCGAAAATATAATCGATAAAATAAACGAAAAGATTCATCTCCCTTCTAATGTAAAAAATTCTCCACAAGTTACGAGATATATGATATAATATATGTATAAATGATATGCAATATGAAACATACGTAATATATTAAATATATTTCGCTTTCTTTAATAATTTTGTAAAGTCTCGAACGAACGAATCGGAAAACATCACTGCTATCCCGTGCATGCATCGCATCGGCCC